TTTACGTGGTGCATGTGCAAATTTACTTGTTACATTAATTCAAACAACAAATCATCTTTTAACACTATCATCATTATCAAATTCATTTAATAATTCTTTTATTAATCAATGTTCACTTGTATCAACTGATTCACAAGTCAATTCAAGGTTATATGTCTTAATGATAATAATGCACGTGTTATACATGTTTCAGTAAATGCTTTACGAACATTATTACCTTTTTTTTTATTAATTAATAGTCATGCATTTACAAGCATAGAAATTAAATTATTAAAAGATTCTATTCAACATACTACAAGTTCCTGTATTCTTGCTAAAGTAGATAAAAGAAATTTATGATTATAATAATTTTTTTTTTGTATGTATATAAAATAGTTTGCTCTAGCTCAACTTATGGATGATATTGATTTTCGAATATTAACTTATCTTGACCAACAATTAAAACAACAGTACCCTGATATACGTGTTCGTCAAGCAATTGCTTCGACTTTTGTTAAGTATGTATTTTGTAGAGATAATAACTACGTAGCTTTTTTCGAATTTGGATAAGTCGATTTTATTACATTAAGTTAGTTATTAGCTACTTTTTCGATTTTAAGGTTTGTTGATCACAATTCATTTTTACCTTGTCAATGGATATATAAAATTCACCATTCATTACAAGCTCAAGCATCAACTGGAATACAAATTGCTTGTTATTTTTGTCTTTTATATAGGTTGGATGTTTAGAAGATATTTATGTTCTTTCAAATGTTTTATGAACAACAACAATTCGACCAATTTTTTCATAATCAATATGATGAACTTCGTTTATTCATAAATTTTTTTAAATATCCCTTTATATTACATGATCTTAAGAATTTAATCTTTTCAAGTAAAGAGAAAAAAAAGATATTTATTATGTTTTTTTTGAATTCTTTCTTTTTATTTGAAGATTTATCAAATCTCAGCAAACGAAAAAATGTTTTGAAAGTAGCACAAATGATTCAAGTAATTCGAAAAATTGAACTATTTTATCATCATTCTTTTGAACAGAATATAGTTGATATTTCAGTTTTCACAGAAGAAAGGAGTTCTAAAGTGTTAGATTTGAAGAATATATTTGATCATGTTTCGTCTGAATGAATTCATTTGTTTTTTGTCTTTTTAAATAGAATGATAAAGATTCATCAACAACATCAAACACAGACAAAGTTAAAAGAGTTAATCATACACAATTAGGTACTTTTGGAAATTATTCGAATTAATATGTTCATCATATCAAATACATAAAAGTTTATTAAACTCATCAGAAATGATCATTATTATCTATGAAATCAGTTTTAAGTCTTATTTCTACACAAGATTTATCAAAAAAATTTGGAAGAGAAACGCTTAATTATTTTAAATCAACATTCAATGTACACAAAAGGTAACTTCTTTTAAATAGTAAATATTTATTGTTTAAGCTAAAACCTTTAGGATGTCGTATTGTGTCTGAAACTTGTCTATGGATAAAACTTTAGATGGAAATGTTTTAATTAAGGTTTCTGAAAAGATCTTTCCTTGAGAAGGAAAATTTCAATATAAAAATGCCATAGTAACAGAAAAACTGATTTTACAAATATCGATGATCTTAACGAGAATAGTTTTGTTGTGAAAGTGTCAGATCTTTTGATTTGGTTCTATCTTTAAATCCGAATATTAAATTCAGCTAGTTGACGTGAGCGATCTGCAAGACATACTATCAATTCGAAATTTGAAAATCATTTTTTCTGTTAATACAACATTCATTTAAAAATATTCTTTTAATTTAGTTTTTATTAAATCTTCAAATGTTTCTTCACAAGTATCATTAAATAATTCTTTAACTTATATTCATACAATAAGTATTCGACAATCGATAATTTATTTTATTTGGTTCACGTTATGCATCAAATATAAATAGTGCAATACGAGAGTAAAATAAACAAAAAAACGAATTTGATCTATTCTGTTTTTTTCTTTTCCATTTTAGTTTTTATTGAACTAAAAAATTAGTCTTAAAAAATATATGAATATACAAATGAAAGTGATTTTCAAGCTGCTGTACTCAATTTACTTGTTCATTTACTTTTAATTCGTTTTAATTATAGTTGATTAGAAGCTGATGAAATTCGTTGTATTTCTAATCGTTTCGTTTATTTTTAAATAGCATTTTATTTATTGTATTGCTGAATTTCTTGTTATGTTATCACATGATACACTTCATTCAAAACGAGCTATTAAAATACAAGATTTAATAAAACATAATGATTCATTATTAACAAGTGGACATGAACCTGAAACACATAGTAGGAAGCAAAAAAAACATTTTCGAGAAAAAGAAATGATCGTTAAAATTCTTTATTTAGCTTTGGCAGCATTAGAACCAGTTTTATATGATTTTTTTTCTTGTTCGAGTTATGCGAATAATTAAAATTCCTAAAAAGTTTTATTAAATGAGAGTGAAGAAAAGGTGTCCTTCTATAAAGTCTCCAATATCTTAGAAACTCGAGAGGGTGTGAGTGTGGGTGTGTAGATGTAATTTTTCTCCTTGATTGAACTCACACCCACACTTCAACGAATCGATGATCTGAAAATAATCATCTTGTTGTTATGTATTTGAGTTTGAAGGAAAACTAGGCGTCTTAATTATTATAAATAAAAGTATCTTTTCATGTCATGTGTATGTATTGAAAAAATAATAATAGAATTTATATTGTTATAGGCTTTACGATTGTTCACAGTTATTATTAATAGTGTTCAAATTGAAGATGATAAATGGAAACGTCTTTCACGATAAATTGTCGATTTACTTCTTGTTCATTTACAATCACATGTTACTATTGGTTTATCTCAGGTTATTTTTTGTTCAAATAGAATCAATCACTTTTGGATATTTATTCCACACAATTAACACTATTTGATGTTGTATCATCAGTTGAATTACGATCAATTGATCCATTTGTTATTGCTTTTCGAGCATTAGTAAATAGAAATATTCGTTGTTTTTATTTATAAAATTTTCCTGTAGTTCAAAACTTTTTTTAGAATGTCAATTGTCAATCTACAAATCGATAGTTAATCAATATAAATATAATACTTCGATGTATTGTACAAAATTTAACTGAAGATGCTATATTAACAAGATAGAATGATGTTTTATCATCAGTTAATGGAACACGAGATGAAACTTTTAGTGCGTAAGTATTCGAAATGATTTCATTTATAATTTAAAAACTATTATTCTCGTTTTTGTTTTCAGAGCTCTTCTTCGTGTTTTACATGACATAATATTATGAATTTTAACTAATACTCGACAATTATGTGGTCAAATCAATATGACATTAGTTTCTCTTGCATCCGATTATCTTTATGTACATATCACCCATTAATTTGAAGATAAAATTTTCCTGCAATTCATTAATTACTAATGAGCTAGCGAAATACATTTGACTTTAAAATTCCTATTCTTATATAATATCTATGATTTTATTTTGGCTAAACAATTTCGAACAATTGTAAATGATTTTCATCAATTATGAATTCATGATGAAACTCTACATTGTCTTGATATATTTTCATATTTAACTATTTTAAATGAATGTTTTAAATTATTATGATCATTATTTTATATCTCATTATTATTACAATGGACACCTATTCTGAATATACTTGATTATATACAAGAAGCATGGTGGTCACCAATGTTAACACCATCATCATTAATAACACATTTATCTATAAGTAGTCAATTACAATCTTATTGTGATTTAATATGTCATCATGAATTATATGTTGAACATTTTACATCAATAACAACACATTATCAATTGTTATTATTATTTTTTATTGAACAAAGTGATACATGCACATATGTACATAATTTATCTGGTGTTATACATCATACATCAGTTGCAAGTCATTTATTCGTTTGTGAAGGAATACATTTATATGAAAGTGGTCTTATATTAGTTTTATTAATTGAACAATTTCTTCCCATTACCATTAAATGAACAATTATTACCTAAATATATACCATGAATTTTATAAATATTATCAATAACAACATCAATTGATATTATTACAGAAGATTTTAATAATCTTAATTGTCCTATGGATATAACAAGAAAAATTTATGAACAAATACTTAAAGATGTAACTTATAAAAACTGATTACCATTTATGATGTCACCGGTATGTTTTAGTTTAATTTATCGAAATAAATAAATATATATGTATAATAAAAACTTTAATCCAATTAAAAGAAATGTTTTTTTTTTACTTTGACATTGTTTATGTGCTAGTAATAGATGAGATTTTTGAATAATTCAAAATTTCGAAAAATATTTTGAAATAGAAAATATGCAGAATTTCAGGTAATACAAATCGTAAAGAAAAGCATTTAAACTACATTAGTACAATGACCGAATAATTCCTCTCGAATCTTATAGATCAAATTCTCAGACGTGGTATTTGTACTGTTACAATTAAAGAAAACGACGTCTTTCTAATATTATATTTCGAAATAAATTGCATTCGAGAATTTCGATAAACTTTCTATAAGTTTGAACTCGTGAACTCCGAAAACGTATTGGATTTTTTCCACAGCATTAAATTTTTAGGATGATTCTCATAGTAAATGAAAATTGATTTGAGAAAATAAGAAACAATATAAATCTGTTCTTTGTTTGTTTTCCTAGGATTTTGTATAGTTATATCAAATGAAACAAATCAAAATGACATTGAAACAACACCTAATACAATTTATGAAAACAGTCTTTTATCATGCTTCTAATAATCAACTATATTCAATTGCATTCATAGATTCTCTATTAATATATTTTGATAAAATACAAAATTATGTTGAATTAACATGTCAATTTTCAACAGGTGATATACATGATTTATTACGTTTTATAACATTTATATCAGAAATAATTTATATAAATATATTTGAAAAAAAAAACATCGTTTTTTAGTTGTGAAACAGATCAAATAATATCATGTTGTACGTTGTCGAAAACACTTTTATCAATATTTGAATATATTTATCAACGACATGGTTTAACTATATCAAATATATTATAATCATATTTAAATTTAATTGAACCAGATAAAAGATCATCTTTATTATTTAACAAAAAAAATTAAATATACACGTATATATCATATATTTATTGACATGATTTATATTGTATAGTTATATTATTATTTTGTTTACCAATATTTATATAAAGACAATTTTGAAGTTGGTTGATTATTAAGAATACAATTTCAAGAAATATAGGCTTCATTTTTAGCTTCAATTAATTCACCACAAATCAATTTAATGATGAAAATAAACAAACAACAAATAATTTAAAAAAAAAAGAAGAAACTTTAGAAACAAATGCAACAGAATGGTAACAAGATTGAAAAATAAACTAGATTTTATCTGTTTTATTTTTTTATCGATGGTCAATATATGCAAACACGTTCAACATTAGATACAAGTTCAAATAATTTATTTACAAATATTGAACGGTTAGGTACATGTGATTTATTATCCTATGGACAACTTTCATATGATACTATATTAACATCAATCCAAAGTAATAATACATTACCATTATCAGTTAATGTAAGTCTCACATATGTTTTAATAATCGACAAATAGAACTCTAAGTTAAAAGAAAGATAAATTCATTGCTAAATTATTAATTTCATCAAACAGAAAATCTAGTGTTTCTCTGACTTTGATTTGATATATAATACAGGCAAATTATCTTATTTCATAGAAATAAAAGCTTATATCAATAATTTCAAATAAATTCTATCAATCAAAAAATTAGAGTATGAACATTTTCTTTGCTGGCATCTACCTTTAAAAATATATAATTTAGAGTCTATTTGATCACTTATTTTTTCATCATGGTTTTGATTTAAGATTATCATTACAAATTCTAATTGAAATATATGTAATATGAATTAATAGGTTCAATTATATATCTATCTGATTTATTTACATTATCATAACATTTATCAAATTTATATGATGAGTATTTTTGTACATGGTTTGATGAAGATGATTTAATAATATCCTTAATAAGTTATAATTTATGTAAATCTAGTATATTACTTGAACACACAACAAAAGAATATAATGAATTATATATACATTTAATTGAACGTAATTATAAATTAATAACTAAAACTCATGCATATACATCATGTTTATTTTTACTTGAAAGTCATGAAGTTGATTTAAATTCATATGATATTTGATTATCATTAATTAATGATGATAATTTAACACAAAAAATTATATCAATTAGTCTTGAAAAACTTTTAATGGGTGGCTGGAATTTCGGCCCACGAATTTTTTGTCCCGGACTTTCGACCCGGGCCGAAAGTTCGAAAGGAATTTCGGACCGAACCTTAATTTATCTAATTAATCTTATAAATAATTAATAAACTTCATGGTGCTCAGCACTATGCACCTCCAATAAAACGTTGTG